AAGGAACAGTTAATAGATAAAAATAAAAGATTAAAAGCAGTAAATAATCGAATTGAACCACTAATTGAAAGTGAGGAAATAGAAAATGAAATTACTGTAATTGAAGAATATACGGAAAAAATAATAAAGTGGTAATCTCGAATCGCAAATTTTTCTGAAAGAAAACAATAAAGAAAGTAGAGGAGGAGAAGAATCATTTAACAGCGCACAATATGAAAAATCTAAATTTGTTCCAAAAAGTAATGCAGTTAAACTCCCAAAACTAATCATAAATAAATTTTACGGCGAAACAACATTATGGCTTGAATTTTGGAATCAATTTCAAATCGCGATCCATGCAAATGAAAGTTTAACTGAGGTACAAAAATTTACTTATTTAAAAAGCCTACTGGGCGGAATTGCATTAAATGCTATTAAAGGGTTTGCTTTGACTAAAGAAAATTATATGAAAAGTATAGAATTGTTAAAAGATAGATTTGGGCTCGAAGATTTAGTGATTAGTAGTCATATGAATCGTCTATTAAATCTTGAACCCGTAAAAAATTCTAGTGATATTAGAGCATTACGAAATTTATATGATAATTTAGAAGTAAACATTAGATCTTTAGAAAGCTTAAATGTAGTCTCTGGAACATATGGACACTTATTATGCCCTATATTATTAAAACTAATACCAGAAGATTTAACTTTAGGATACAACCGCAAACGAAAATCAAAATCAGAATTTAATGTTTCAGAATTAATTCAATTTATTAAGGAAGAAATTCAAGTACGCGAATCATCTACATTATTCCATGATAATGTTAAGAAAAATAAACACTATAACTATTATAATCCCAGGGAAATAATAAATAACAAAAAACAGTTCAGATCGAATATTCCCACAGCTTCAGCATTGGCTACTAATGTAAAATTTAATTGTGTATTTTGTAAATCAGAACACGATTAATTTATTTGTGAAAAAATGTCTGTTTCTGAAAAAAGAGATAGATTAATGCGCGAAGGTCGTTGCTTAAATGTTTCCGTAAATCACATTTAAGTTCACAATGTAGGAGTAAAATTACTCCTTGTAAAAAATGTAATAGTAAATCTCATCACGAAATAATTAGCTTTGGAATTCCGAAAACTCAAAACGAAAGTTCGCAAGAAACCGCAGAGAAAAATACAATTGTAGCCAGTGTTTCTCATGTCGAAGAGGGACAAAAAGGGGAATTTCAATCAGTGTTTTTACAAACATGTGTTGCGAATTTGCATTTGGCAGACAAAACGCAGGAGATAAATATTTTATTTGATTCCGCATCGATGAGGTCATTCATTACTGGAGAATTAGCTCAAAAGCTTAATCTCCCGATAATTAGAAAGGAAAATTTATTAGTTTATACTTTTGGAAGCCGTGAACCGCAAGAAAAAACATTTGATATAGTAAAGGCCAGTATAAGCAATAAAAAATATTCTACTCGAAGGTCAGAGTTCGAATTATTGGTTACAAGTACCATAACACGTGCTTCTTTCCCACCGCATAATAATAAAATAAAGTTGCTGCTTGAGGATTTTGCGCTTACTGATTTATGTCTTTCGAAAGGAATAAATTCCATTGATATATTAATTGGAGCAGATTATAATTGGAAACTCCACACTGGGTACATAAAGGAGTTGACTAAAGATTTGTTTTATGTCGAAACATTACTCGGAGGAAGCATAACTGGGATTACTCATTCAGATTTAAAAAATGACTCTATCATTGAATATTTGTGTTATTGTAAGGAAAAATTTAATTGTGAGGAATTAACTAGTGGAAATAATTCTTGTGATGATATAAATTAACAGTTACGGAAATTCTGGGATATTGAAAGCTTAGGCATAAATGATAAAATTCAGAATACACCTTTAGAGCAAGAAACTTTAAAACAGTTTGAACAAAATATAAAATTTCAGGATATCAGATACGTACTTAAATTACCATTTAAAGATGAGGTAAACATTTCTGACAATTTTAATTTATCTAAAAGAAGGTTAATTAGTTTAACATCGCGTTTTAATTAAAATCCTTCTTTGCATGATAATTATGCTAGTATTTTTAAAGAACAATTATCGGAAGGAATAATAGAACCTGTTAATGATAAATCAATAGTTCCAAATATGGTTTATTATTTACCTCATCATCCAGTAATTAGAAATGATAAACAAACTGCAAAGTTACGGATAGTTTTTGATGTTTCTTCTAAAGAAAAAAATTGCTACTCTCTAAATGATAACTTATTATCGGGTCCCAATCTAAACCCTAATCTTTTAATTTTACTATTAAAATTTCGCGAGTTTAAAATAGGAATAATTGCTGATTGTGAAAAGCCTTTCCTACAATTGTTAATTGATGAACATGATAGGGACTATCTTAGATTTCTTTGGTCAGAGCAATTCCCTCCCAAGAAAATTGAGGTTTTTCGCAATAGAACCGTAACTTTCGGAGTAAAATCATCAACATTTTTACTAGCTGGAACAATAAAGTATCATATCAAAAATTATAAAGAATCTCATCCTTTGGCGTGTAAGGTTTTAAATAAAAATTTGTATGTCGACGATCTTATTACTGGTACAAATACGATTGAAGATGGACTACTATTATCCAGGGACGCTAAATTAATATTAAAGGATGCATCAATAAATCTTAGGAAGTGGAAGAGTAATTCTAAGGAGTTATGCCAAAAATGGCAAGACACAAAATTTGAAAAATATCCTAGTGAAGAAACAGTACCTTTAAAAGTTTGGAATACTTTAAAGGATAAGTTTAATTTAGATTTAAAATCTTTAATTGATTCTTTGGAAAATGTGAAGAATACTAAGAGAAGCGTATTACGCATATCATCGAAATTATTTGATCCAATGGGATATATAACAGCATTCACGATTAGAATTAAAGTTCTTCTTCAAGAAATATGGGAACAAGGCTTAGAATGGGATGAGGAATTCGGAGATATTTTAAGACTGAAATGGCAAAAATGGTATAAGGAAGTAAATGTATTAAAGGAACTTTCACTACCAAGATATTATTTTCATGAAGAAGATAGCTGTTCCGAAGTAGGGAATTATAAGATAATTATATTTTGTGACGCAAGTGAGAAGGCGTATGGAGCGATTGCATATATTCGATATGAAAGAAATCAAAATTTTTACCTAAGCTTCGTTACTTCAAAGGCACGCGTTGCACTATTGAAGAAGTTGAGTCTACCAAGATTAGAACTGATGACCACTCTTATAGGTTCCAGATTATTGGATACTTTAAGGAAAATGTTTCAAATAAATAACAACTATATTCTATATTCTGACTCAACCATAGCCCTTAGTTGGATTCGAGGAAATGCAAATCAGTGGAAAACATTTATTTCAAACAGAGTAACTGAGATCCAAACTTTAACAGATCCTACTAATTGGAAGTACATAAAGGGAAATGATAATCCAGCTGATATCATATCAAGAGGATGCAGTGCTAATGACTTGCTCTCAAGTGCAATTGTATTTAATGGACCAACATGGTTGACATTAACCGAAGAAAATTGGCCGAAAAATGAAGAAAATTTTAGAAGAGCAGATGTAGATGAAGAAAAGAGATCGAAATTTATTGCAGTTAATTATGCAAGTGAAAATAATGTTCACGATTCAATTTTCGATATCCACAAATTTAGTTCTATTGAGAAGGTTTTCCGATTAACAGCCTGGATTAGAAGATTTATTACAAATTTGAGAGTGAAGGAAGAAGATAGAATCCAAAATGTTTTAACTGCAGAAGAATTAGAAGAAGCTGAAAACTTTTGGTTGAGACACGTACAAGCAAGGAACTACAGTAAGGATATAGATTGCTTAAAGGAAGGACAACATTTACAGAAGTGCTCAAAAATCAGAGACTTAAATCCGTTCATTTCTGACAAAGGGATTCTACTTGTGGGTGGAAGACTACAGCACTCCAATTTGAACTATTATGAAAAACATCCTATACTATTACCATCAAAAACTAAATTTACAGAACTGATAGTGAAAGAAGCACACGAAAAGACCCTACACTCTGGTATTTCAGACACATTAACNATTTAACATTTGATTATTAGCTCGAGAATTATGAACTTTTAAATTTGGTAAGATGTACTGTGCAGGCTGATCTTCAACCTGCAAGAATGCAACCAAAAGCGTTAAAAATTTTACCTGATGAAAAAGCGATTTTTAATTTACCATCTAAACACAAATTGTATACGAAAATTCAATTTTTTCAAATGTCGAGTACTTTTTAAGTAATCTTTTTTCAACTTTAAATAATGTCTATTTATTCATTGCTGAAAAGTTTTTTTCACGATATTTTTATTTTAAATATTTATGCTTAATTTGACGTCGAAGGTAGCAAAATTAATTGAATAAATAATTTAAAGAGATTAGATGTAACATCTTAGCATAAAAAAAATCAAATATGTTAAAAAAATTTTTTTTATTTGAATTAATATAATGACTAAAGGTTAATATAATGACTAAAGGTTATTATAAGTATCGTTAATGAGTAAAACTACTTTTTATTTTTCTTCTTATATTGTTGCACATTCAGTTTTGGTAACTTTATGATTTTCGAGTTCCATTTGATTATTTTTCAATTCCAGGTACGTGGGTGGATCAACTATAAATGAGACTTTTTAAATAACTAAATATAAAAATATTTCTTTCAAAATATACAAAACTGTTATATTTCTATATAATTTCCGTAAAATTCTGCACAGTTTTTCCAACGTTTTGGACCCTGTGACATAGAAGGAAAAAGGCCGTGTAGTTAGCCAATTTCGCGCAAAATTTTCTACCTCTTCACTGGATGAAAATCTCCCTCCTCCCATGGCTTCTTCAAGGGATCCAAACAATTGATAGTCTTCAGGTGCCAGGTTCAGGCACTTTATCGTATTGTCCTGTTGCAAGAGCATTTTGCGAATCAACACATGACAAGTTTTCAACTTCTTCACTGTCTTGTTTCAATAACTTGCGCCATTTGCCTATTTTAAAAACCTTGAACAGGGTATCACCTGCTAAACTGTGTTTCTAATCTGCACAAAATTCAATAGTTTTGACGTTTTCTCTCGTTAAATTTTTTTTTTTTAAAGTTTGTGCAATAGAACTAAGAACGTTGCGCTCACTCATGTTTACGGTTACTAAAAGAAAACTTACAAGGAACTAAGATTGCCCAAACAATAACCACTTTGGATAAAGTTCTGTTGTTACCATGGCATTGAAAATAAAAATTGTCTATCGCTATTAAAAGTGTCTCATTGGCCCGTGTAGGGGGCAGGGAACTGTCCTTGCATCAGAAAGGTCCTGGATTCGAATCCCGGGCAAGGCATGGATGTTTCTCTCTCTCTCTCTGTGTTCTATGTCCTTTCTCCTTTGTGTGTGAATGTGACACGCCTTATAAACTTGTTGCGGTTGTGTGAATGGCGTGGCAGAAGTCGAATTCATGACCACAGATGGCGTCACTGAAAAACGGAAACAATCGCACCCCTACTGCCTAAGCATACGACCAAAAAAAAAAGTCTAATTTATATTTGATTCAACTTCGTTACGAATAGCATACGAAAAGAGATGCTTACATAAAAATTCTAATAATTATATATATTATTAACAAAACTAATGATATATTAACAAAATTACTTACGTTTTTGAAAAAAGTTAACGACTTGGAAAAAACGTGATGAATGAGAAGCAATCATAGAGGTTGGTGAGCATATTCTCCTAGTATCATCAAAAATTTAAATATTAAGTGAAAAAATCTTATGATTGTTTACTAATAAATCGTTACTTATCTAGTCATTTTATTTCATTATAGAAGTGTAAAAGCAGAATGGCAATGTGGTTGCGAGGTTCTTAACATTAAAATTCATAACCTAGTCTTTTTTAACTTAACTTAGAGGGAAAGGGATCTCTTGAATTATGCACGCTAGGACCAAATTGCTTCGAAGTGTTTTTTTTTTCAAAAGCTAACCAGCAAGTGTCTTACATAAAAATTAAAATTACGGAAACCTTTCTCTGTTAGCGCAACAACATTTAATCCACAAATCGTCTTCTATAGGTGATATTTTGAGTTTGGACTATGTTCAGCGTAAGAAGAGAAGCGTGTGGAAATTAACAACCCATTGGCGAGTTTCATACCTGGTTCACCTCAAAGAGAAACTGTTATATCCTAATTGTCAAGGGTAGGTCATGATGGCTCAGGAGATAGAGCGTTCGCCTCTTTAAGGTTGCCCAGGTTCGAATCCGAGCAACCACTGGGACTCGAATCTGGCAATTCTGTTTCCGATTCACACCAACCGCATCACTGACGAAAAATATCCTCAGTGGTAGATAGATCGTAGGTCAGAATCCCCTTGCCTTCTGGCTAACCATGGATGGTTTTCGGGGATTTCTTTCCCATATACGAACTGCGGGTTAGTATCGTTAAAAAGTACTCCAGTCTGTTCGAATGCTAGATTCAGGAGTTCCTTTGTCTCTGGAATGAGTACAAAATCACAGGGTTATGAACCTAAGCATTGATACTCGTAAACTCATAATTGTGCCGGATGTTCAACGTTGGTCGTTATAAAATATTAATAGAAAATATAAGTCACGGGTCACCAAATACCAACTCATATGAGTCATCATTTGGGTGTCAACATTTATGTCGACGTTTAATTCACGAAAGCATTAAAGGTATTGGCGAATTTCAAATGTTTTATCGAAAATATTAAGAATGCGTTTTGGTATTCTTGAGTATTCTTCAGTATGTGAAGGGTTACCTGAGTCATGATTAGTACGTTTCATGATTGGGTTCCTAAAGTTTTCTAGTCAAGTTATATTCGAACTTTACATTGAAATTTTAGATTTCTTCATGTTTCCTTTTTTCTTAATGGGGGTAAAAATTTAACGATTACTTAATTCTTGTTAATCAAAGATTGCATAAAAAATAAATCACTCCAGCAATATCAGGTTGTAGGAAAAGAGGTCGTAGGGTTGCAAGGCTCAGCTATTTTGTTACCAACGGCGTGAGGGATCAGCATTGCGGTTAGCATCTTGCCTGCATTACTTCCCAGAAAGCTTGATGCCATCGGTTAGAATCTAATTAAGCTCCAAACCGCGACTAGGTATAGGATCACAATCATTTACAGTGAGAGCTCAGTGCATTACCCACTGTGTCGTCGTTGTTCGGTGATGAACAAATAGCTTCCGCTAACTTTTCTTCTTATTCACCTTATAACTTACGTAGAATTTAGCATAGTAAGACTATTTCGAAATTGAATGTTTGTGATAAGACTTTGGTTTGAATCTACAAAAAGAAATTTAAACTAGTTTCTAGTAGCTATGTATTACTTTTGCTAAGATTGAATCTCGTTATAGCTGATTAATATAAAGATAAATAAAAAGTAGAATTTTCAATATTTGGATAAAAATATTATTATAGGCAGTTTAAGACTAAACAGGGAGTCTCAAAGATAACGATATGAAATATCAGTTACGGAAAAAAAGAGACAATGATGTGTGTTTTTCGGCATTCTGCTTAAGAAACCAACACATTATTTTTTTCAAAATGCAAAAATAACTAATACATTCATTAGCAAATGACACTAACGTGAAAATATATAGAAATAATTTTTTTTTCTCCAACTCTCCAATGGACTTTCTTAAATTTCGATCAGATTGAAAAACGTTGTTGATGCTAGTGTAGTTTTCTTTTTAAACTTTGTTTTACAGTTTTTCTTGGCAAACTGTGCTTCGTTTTGAGAAATAAAAAACTTTCATTAGCTTTGAAACTTTGAAGCAAAATAACTAGGGGATTTAAATGGAAGCAGCAAACCAAATGTTTCTAAGTCATTAAATTTTAATAAATTGTTTTTTCAAATGGCAGTCATATTTGGCATACCAAAGTTCTTCTCTTATTAATATATTAATAATCCGAAATCTTTTTTAATTGTTTGCATTTAATGATTCTCCAATGTTATTACAACAAGATACTTCAAATGGGAATCTTTTTTACTTTCTTACAGCAAAATCAGTATTTATTGATCCATTATGTAAATTAATTTTATAATCTAGAAAAAAAAACAATGACTGTTGTATAAATTTTAGGAAGTCCTTATGGGAATTATAACT